GGGATGAGAGGGAGACCCTGGGCAACACTGCCAACCTCTGCTTCCTGCTCTCTGCAACCTTCCTGCCCCTCGGCCGCTGCTCTGATTTGCCCAAATCCTCAGAAACAGAACCACTGCTTGTGGGCTAGCAAGGAAAGCAAAACAACCAGATAAAGGGACCCACGTGGAGAAGTAAATACAACCTGCTGGGCTTTTGAAAGATCATCATCAAGAGCGCAGTGCTATTTTAAAAGCCTTCGGATTGCTGGATGGCTGCCCACCTCAGACAGTACACCACGTCCTACCTCGCCAGAGAGCAGCCCAGAACCCTGGCACAGGACGCCAGCCACAGGGCACAGCCTGCAGGAACACGGGCCAGTCCAGGCTGACAATACTGTCAAACTACCTGTCCTGAGAAAGGCAGCGGTGGCTTCTGAAAGGGCCCGCACAGCCAGTCTCAGAAAACGGACTTCCAAGGGTGGAGGGAAACTGATTTCTTTTCTAAAGAGCAGCAATCTCTCCACTCCCCTCTCAATGAACTCAGGCTCTAGGGTTTGTTTGTTGTTTTCTCTGGTGCTAGGGATGGAACCCAGGACCTCACACAAGCCTAGTGATTTGTTTTCACAGCAACACAGCTGGAATACAAGGTGGGTGGGGGAGAAACAAACACATTCTTCCCTGGTGTTCAGATTCAACCGCTTACTCAAGGAGGAAACCAGGACTCTATCCATCTTTTTTTTTCTTTTTTGTTGGGGGACAGGTGTTGCTACGAAGCCCAGGCTGGCCTTGAACTCACTGCAATCCTCCTGCTTCAGCCTCCTGATTGCTGCGATTACAGACATGCACCACCATGCTCTGCTTATTCCTTACCTAATTCTGCTCCACCCTTCAACTCAGCTCAGAATTTACCTCTCCAAACCCCCCTAAATTCCCCAGTTACTCAGCTACTCCAGGCTCCTGGCTGTCTTCCCCCTGGGACAGCTACCTACTCCGGGGGAAAGGAACTATGTTTAACTCGGCAAGGAGCAGACGCACAGCCTATTCAGGTACAGATCAGACACAGAACAGACACCTGCTGGCTCAAAGCCAACCCAGAAGAACTTGTTCTGGATTCGAGCTTCCAGATGGGTGACTTTGTCCCTTTCAAGCCCAAAGCCGCTTGTAATAATTAGGGCATGGAAAGCTTTTGAAAATTGTTGTCATTGGTCTCTGCCTTCTAAAACAAAGATTTTTATATTTTTTTAAAGTTTTGTACGATTTGGGGACTCAGTCTTACTTATGAATATCCAATTACTATGCTGTGCCAGAATCTAATTTAGGACTTCAGAAAATACTAAGCTCATTACTTTTAAAGATTAAGTGAACACTGAAATTGCATTTAAATCTTCGGCGGCGATTTTAGGATACTTCTGTATCCATCCCACAACTGTCATTCTGCAAGCCCTTTGTGACCTGCGGTTTTTAACGTGCTTCTGGTTTGCACTGAGCGTCGTCTCGCCATTTTCAGGAGGCGCCAGGACCCATCTCGGCTTCCTCACAGCACCCTTCAGGAACAGGCGCCCATGAAGCTATTTGCAGCTCCCCAGGGGCCCCTCCGAGTCCCAGCTCCACGCCAATCCTTCTATCTTTCTTCCTGAGGACACAGGCTCGCTGTTCCCTGCTCTGCACCACTCCGTCTCCGTCACCGCACTTAAGAACACAGCAATTCAGTTTCCACCAGCTATTCTCCGGCAGAGCACTGACAATGTCTTAACGTAGGCATTTAGTCTCATGTGGACGTTTAAGGCCAGGGTCTAGGTATGCAGTTTCTTTTCATGAAGCATTCAACAGTATTAAAGAAAACTGGAGTGCTGGTGTGTGCCAGCTACTGAAGAAGCAGATGAGTCCCGGAATTCAAGGCAAGCCTGGCCAATAAACAGAGTCAGAGAAGACCCCCCCGCCCCGACACGCAATACAAAACAAAACAAAAAAATTTAAGCAGAACATAGTGGCACACACCCGTAATCCCAGCTACTCAGGGTTGTGAAACAAGAGGGTTCCAAGTTACAGAGACAGAGGAGACAGAGACAGCTCATGACCAAGTTTAGACATAAGTACCCAGATAAGATACATACCAGTTAAATGTCAAGTTTTCCAACTTTTATTAATTATTATGCTTGAGATAAGATGCTGCTCAGGAAAGCCACAGCTTAAAGATGTTTTAATGGTAAATTAAAAAGTGTCAAATTCTTGACAAGGAGGAAAAAAAGAACCTTCTCAAAGTGACTTCAAACGTTACTCATCAGGGGCTGGGGATTTAGCTCAGTGGTGCTGCAGCCTGCCTTGCAAGTGCAAGGTCCCCAAGTTCAATCCCCGGTACTTAAAAAAAACTTGCTCATCGAATTACACACTTGTCACCCCAGCACTCTGGGAGGCTGAGGCAGGACAATGGTTCAGTTTGAGCTCAACCCAGGCAAATGAGTGAAACTCACTCTCAAAACTAAAGGCTGGGGATGTAAGCTCTGGGTGGAAGACTAGGTTTGATCGCCAGTGCTGGAAAAAAAAAATTAAAAAGTTACATGTAAAATGTAATTTACTCAAATACAGATTCAAGGGCTCTGTTCTGAGAAGGTGTTACCTTTCTGAGACAAATACTGAGAATCTGTGGACAAAACGACACAAACTGAGCTTTCGTGGAAATCTTGGGAAAGCGCTGGGGAACGCAGGGAAAGGACACCGGCTGCAAAGCCAGGCGCCCACCGAGCGCTCTCACTGTGTTTCGCTCTACTCTTGGACTCGCGTGCAGTTCTCCGGGCTGCACAGAAGCTCGCTGGCTGGCTGTAGCTGCTCCCCGAGGCTTTCCGGCCCGAGAGCGCGCTGTGGTACTAGCAGGTGCACAAGTGGGAATCCGAGCAGGCTGGGCCTCTCCTCTCTGCCCTGTCCTGGGGACCCAACCTCCTCACCCTCCTTCTCCCCCACACGGAGACCCTACCCACTACCATCACACAACTCACGGCTGCAGTCAGGGAAACTAACCACAGCTCCACGAGCCACGCTGTCTACCACGCAGTCTGCCCTAAGGCCTCGATCCAGTTTCCTGACCGCATCATTTCAAGGCAGCTAAAATGCAGTCTGAAGGCAGAAGACAGTCACAGGGTTTCCACAGGGCTAAAACCTCGCTCTGCTCTGCCCAGATCTCTCCTACTGTCTGTCATTCCTAGTGTGTAACTGCCATAAAAGCAGCAACTTTAGCTCCGCCTGCCTGGGTGCTCAGATTCTAAGAAGCACTGAACACAACAGAATATCAACACGAACTTTCTGGATGTTCGGGACGTCAGACAGGAACGTCTGAATAAGAAGTTTGAATACACCAAAATCTGAGTCTACCAATAAACCAAGACTCTGTCACTGACCCACATCCCTGCACCTATTACATGCTGCAGAAAGGTGAGATCGTGGCAGTATTTTCATCCCCTCCCACGTTTAGTCTTTCCTCAACAGCTGAAAATTCAGCGACTCGGGAATCCCAGGAGTAACAGACGGACCTGTCTGTGTGTGCCAGGGAAACCCGAAGGACCCTCAGTATGTTCACTGGGCCTCCACCAAGTTTACAACGGATACAAAATCTATCACAGGTGGGGATTTAGCTCAGTGGTTCCACCACCTGCTTCGCAAGAGCAAGGACCTGAGTTCGATCCTGGTACAAAAAAAAAAAAAAAAAAAAAAAAAAAAAAAATTCTATCAGAACTTGGAGAACCATGAAAATTCTATGACCGCTCTAAGAAGGCATAAATCTGGACTTTCAAAATCAGCTTCCTCCTTCCACTTTATCCCGAAGTCCACTGGGCAGAAAGCTCCCCCACACCTGCCACTACCACGCAGACACAGAACCTCCTGGCAGCCTGCGCCAATGGCAGCTCTGCCTAACACTGCTGGGTGACCTTGGATGAGGCACTGTGCCTCAGTTTCCCTGGATGTCACATGTGATGATAGCACGCACTCAGAGTCGATGTGATTCCTAATGACTTAAAACCAGGACAACAGTGGAGAACAGTACTGGGGGGCTTAGTTACCACCACCAGCACTAGCGTTACTGCCACATCTGGGCCTCCTAGGCCCTTACACTGACATTCTAGGTAGTGATCATTCTCAAGAACCTAAAAAACAGCCTGTAATTTTTTTATTTTATATTTTTGGCACTAAGGGTTGAACCCAGGGCCTCGCGCAGGATAAGTACGCCTTCTAGCACTAGTTTGCAGTTTTTGTTTAAGCCTGAAGAAACCAGTGAGAGGACAGTGTGTCACAAACCCAGTGGACATTGTACTGTAAATCTCTGAATTAATGAATATCATGAAAAGGGAAAGGCAAGCTTTTGAGAAAGACGGGCACTTATTCTGTGATACCCCCAGACGTCACTACTCTGTCAAATAAAATCACCCACTCAAAGCACCAGGCATATCACAGGGCATGTGGTGAAGGGTAGGGATTCTTCTTAGCATTGTGTTCGTGACTTTCAAGAAAAGTTCATTTCAGGACTTCTGGGCCTGAGATATGCCCCTCCCACCGCAGCCTAGGAGCTACAGAGCACAGGCTTGACAATCAGCCCGCTCTTCCCTCTGTCCCTGCACTGGCATTTCTGCTCTTGGCTTCATCGTATATTAATGCTGAGATTTTACGTCAATGAAAATGTCCTAAAAGCACCCAGCCCTCCACTGCACAGACGAGGTTACAGGGCTTTGGTGGAAATGGTCTTGTCCCCATCCCAGCACAATGAGACCTCAGAAAAGCCAGTGCAAGGGCGAGGGAACAGCAGGGTGGCTGCAGAGGCCGACTTACCTCTGACATCTCTAACCTGTGTTGGGAGGGACAGATCGCAGGCCCCGAAATGCACCTCACACGGAGACTACGACCATGGACCTTCTCACCCAGTGCCCTCCTCTACCCACAGACCAACACGATCCAAACTTCTGCCGGAATCCTCTTGCAAACCCAGATTTCCACCAAGTGGAAACCCGATTCATTATTTACGTTCCTCCACTCACCATAATTTCTCTCTGCTCCTCCAGATTCTTCAAAAAATTCGAAAATTCACGCAAGGAAGCATCTGTGAGGAGAGAGGGGTCAGCGTGTGGCCGTCGAGGCACGGGAAGGGGTACAGCCCGCCGCCTCCCCGGCCCTCCTGTACCTATGCAGCGCTCGTCGTCTGTCTCCGCGTCGCCGATGAACTCGAACTTGAAGTCTCTGAGCGAATGCGCAAACTTCCGCTGGGCTGCTGAAAGACCTGCAAGGGAAGGCATCGTTGTCAGCGGGGTTCTCGGGATGTTTCACATCATTCCCCAGTGCCCTTGCCTCTTCCCTGCTCATGCGGGTCAGAACTTGCCAAACTCCGAAGTTCAGGCTGCGATTCCGAACACACGCCTGGGGGCCGGGATTTAGCTCCGTGGTTCCACCCGCCTGCCTTGCAAGCGCAACAACCCGAGTTCGATTCCCCGGTCCCCCACACACACACCAACAAGAACACACGCCTGGTAGCACCACTCCGGGCTTGATGAGATCTGGGCTCCAGCCAGTTTCAAGCATAAGCCTTCCAGAAGCTCAGGGTCAGCCAGCCAGGTGCTCTGTACTAACGGCCAAGCAACCACTCCGGCCAACAAAACCCAGAGGATTTGCGAAGGATGCTCACTGAAACAGCAGCAGAGACGCATTCAAGGGCCAAGCGAATGGCCAAAAGAGTTCAATCTGCAAAACAACTGTAGAGGTCCTCGTCTTTGCTCATTAGACATCAAGAGAAGAGTGGAAAGGTCCACGCTAAGTTAGCAGCCAGGAGGACAGCGCAGTGGGGGTAGCGTGCGGGCGGAGGTCTGGGTTTAACTTCCAGCATCACAGAAAAAGAAAAGAGAAACAACCTTTAAACTCGCTGAGGACAGTGACACTGTGACACGATCACAGGGCCGGGTGCTGCTCAGCAATTCAGCACTTGCCTAACACAGGCAAGGCTCTGGATTGGATCCTAGCATCGCAAAAAATAAGTACATAATGTAGGGGAACATTTCAAGAATGACACACTGCACAAGATTGTGTGTGTGTGTGTGTGTGAGAGAGAGATCTCACTCAGTATTTTTTGAGATATATAAAATGGAACCAGCCCATTTTTCTAACAAAAGAGCTACAGATCAGAGATCAAGTGATTTGCACCATGAGTGCTGTACAGCTGTCACAACAGCAAGGACTGGCTTTTCCTCCAGCGCCACGTGTCCAGGCCTGCCCGGGCCCACAGCGCTCTCCTCCATGCTCCTGGGACTCCTGTGATCTCCACAGCTGCTGTCTCCTGACAGCGGAGACCAACAGTCCTATTATTTGAAAATAAAATTTCACATCGAGCAAACTGAAATGTTGGGAGAAACATGATTGACGGATCGAAGTGCTTCCTAACAAAATCGGACAAGAAAGTAAGCAAACACTGTACAAATGAAGCGCTGTTTCCGCAAGATTGGAAGACATACGGGTAGGTTTCTCTTTTCTCCACTGTGTGACAACAAATGGAATGAAAAAGCTTTGTTTTCACATTAGAAAATGCTACTTCATTTTTTAACCAAATCTCTAACCCTAACCAGTAAGTGCAGAGCCTGTCCCAAAGCCTCCAGGACCAGCTGTTTCTCTTGTCCCCAAACTTTCTATTAACACCCACCATTTTAGCAGTATTGTGTTCACAGCCAAAATGAGCCAAAGGCCCAGAGGATCGCTATAAATCCCTTTACTCACACAACCAACCTCCCCCCGCTGTCAACATTCCCAACTGTCAGGATTTTCAAAACTTCCTTTCTCTTCCACCTAATTCATGTTTATTGGGCTGTTTCTCTTTATAACAAAAGACCACTGAGGGGCCTAAGTATGAAAGGAACAGTCAAACTGCTAGACAACAATGAAATGGGATTGTAATTTCCTTTTTTTGAGATAGGGTCTCTCTATGTAGTTCACACTGGCTTTGAGCTCAATATGGAGCCCCAAGCTGGCCTCAGAAATCCTCCTGCCTCAGCCTCTGGAGGGCTAGGGTTACAGAAGTGCATCGCCACACCCAGTTCTTATCTGAAGAGTGGAAGAAAAGCACAATTCCCGGTGAAAGGTGACCTTACTGTGAGCTCTGTGCACCTAACTCCGCACACCTCCGGGTACACGCACACCTCTGCAGCGCCTCCTGTGGAGACGGACTCCTCTATTTCCCACCCCTTGAATCCGGGCTGTGTTCAACAGAATATGGGTAGCCATATGGATCCATATCCTTCACCTCAAGAACCTCTGCACTGCCCCGTTCAGCTCTTAAAACCCTCTGTCCTCCACATGAAGAGCTGGGTAGTGAAAGGCTCATGGACCCTTGAGCCCGGCTCCCCAATAACCTCCCACCCTCCACAGGGGCACAGCTTCTCTGCTCCTGTGGGCCGCGGGACGTTCGGAAGAGATGGGAACTTCTCAGCTCAGGTTGCCACTGACGCACACAGTCTGAAGAACTGTTATAAATCAACCGCATACAACAGGAACGCAAAGAAGAGGAGGGGCAAAACTTGGACAGGCATAGTTCACAAAGGGAAGAGGAGGAAACTCCAACCTCCTGGAACCATGGAAAGATGTGCCCAAAGTCATAAAAGAGAAAATTAAAATCTCAAGATACCTCAAAAGTTAGAAATTCTGGCAACTCCAAGTGCTCCTGTGATTACTGCATGTGTAGGAACAAAGCTTCTTCAACCTCCGCAGAAAGAAATGTGGCATAATTACCTGCTAAGTGGTTTGACTTTTTCTGGAAAATCTGATGATGCCCTACAACCCAGAAATTTCAGAGAAATTTCCCAAGATGAAGCTCTTGCACACAGGGACCTGTTGGGTGTACCCCAGAAGACCCACAGCAGGACTGATCCCAGTAAAAGCCAGAAGCTGGAACAAACAGGTACCTACAGTACAAATGGATCGATTACAGTGCAGAGTTCTACACTGTAAAGATAAAAATATACGGACTCGAACACCAACGCAGATGAATCTCACCATCGGGAGAGAAAGAAGCAAGTCCCAGGAAGGACACACAGTAGGGCCAACACACAAAGCCACTCGGAGCATCACTTCTTTAGGCTACACAGAGGTCACAAGATCACAGGCTAGCACGTGAGTCATCCTCTCTCACACCATGCAGTGCTTGCCCCTGACTTGGCAGGAGGGCAGTCGAGTCAGGAAGGGCGATTAAAGATTTCGTGTTCATAACCTCATGGGGGGAAGGGGTCCTGTGGATAGTTGCTTTAACAGTCTTTCCACTGCCTTATTTGTACATTTTTGTCGTACCTGCATAGTTAGGATTTGGGAGGTGCTGGGGATCAAACCCAGGGCCTTGTGCATACTATGGGCATGCTTTACCACAGAGCTGTGACCCTAGCCCTCCAAATAAAATTTGACTAACCACAGCCGGAGGTGGTGGGGTTTCCCTGTAATTTCAAAACTCCAGAAAGTTGAGACCAAAGGACTACAAGTTCAAGCCCAGAGTGGACACTAGCAAGACCTGGTCTTAAAAGCACAAAGGGGCACAGGGCTACTGGGATGTAGCTCAGTGTAACGGCCCTGGGCTTAATCCCTGGTAAGGGAGGGAGAAAAACCAAAGACCATAAAATGCCCCAGCCTAGCTCTTTGGGCCAATCTACCCTGAGTGGCTGCTGCAGCACAGTCACTCTGGAAACAGCCGGTGACACCCGGACACACGGGCACCGCCGTCCTCACACTCCCAGCTCAGCCAGGCAGAGCTCCCCGAAAGCTGCCACTCGCTTCTCCACCCACAAAGCTCAGCTCAGAAACCCTTCTCTCCTCTCAGCAGCCTCCCTGAAGTATCACCAGCCTCCTCTCCCGGCTGTTTCACAGCACTCAGAACCTGGACTGTTTTCCAGGAGCCAGTCCTCCTCCACAACATCCACCTACCCCTGGCACGTATCATTTCCCTGAGGGAGACTTCTTCGTATCCTGTGCATCGCTTTCTTGAAACACAGACCGCAAGAGCGGATTAGACGAAGAAAGGAGCTTCTTTACAAATTTATCTGAGGCACCTATTCCATAAGCCGACAGTCTTCAGACTTATTTTTTATAACCGGATAGTAGTCCGTGTAACTATCTGGTTCTGTCAGATCTCAAGAGAGGCAAACAAGCTGATAGTGAATATTTATCTGTGTTAACATTTATACAGACGTATGCGTTTCTATGTATTATAGTCTACATACTGTACAAATTATTTGCCACCGCCCTTGGAGCTGTTTCCTGAGAGTATTTTATCCAAAATCACCGGGCTGTTTTAAAGGCAGCATGCCTCGTGGCCAAGACAGAATGCTCCCGGAAAGTTACATTTGAAACGTTACCAGTTTTGCAAAATTCGTAATTCCTAAGACTCATGGGAATGGTTAATAATAGATTAAAGCTGGCTTCATTTACACAGCTAATCTGGTCTATTTCTCCCTCTGTAAACTTCACCTGCCCCCACACCCCGCTGAAGGACTAGTCACGTCATTTGTTTTAAATGTAAGCATTTGCCACTGTTCACTTTGCTCTTGTACTTGATCTCTCTGTCATTACCAGTTTCTTACACAAAAGTTTACTATTTAAACATCTGACCACACCAAGTTCTATTCAAGGATCACAAACTTAATCATTCTTCCATTACTTAGTACATTTAAAATTAGCTAAGTTCAAACTTTTACAGGCATCTTGTTTCCAAATATAAAAATCATAATAGTTTCCTAAATTTAATGCAGCCTATGAAGTCCTTTTTCCATGAAACTCAGTTTCTAGTTGATTAAGTGCAAAGAACAGCAGCGTTTCTTCACGTTTCCCTCAAGAGGGAACTAACCTTGAGTGTCTGCTATATGCTGACTTAGTATCCTTACTTTACTTACTCCCTATAACGAGACAGCAGGGTAGCTGTTGGTGTCACCGTACACACATATATACACACACAGAGGCACACACGTGTGGGTACGTGCAAGGGGGAAAGGGCCAGAGATCAGGGCCTTGAATGAGATCACAGACTGCTCTACACTGCTGACACTAAGAACACGTTCCCTGGTTCTTCAGACTTCCACAGAGGTCTTTTCCAGACACTATTCTGATTTCCAAGACACTGTGTATTATTCCCAGGCCCTCTGCCCAGTTTTCAACTGGGACGAAGTCATCAGTCTCCCAGCGGTGCCAATGCACAACTCCTGCTCAGTGGAAAATCCATACACAGAGCCCCATGTCCTCCAGGCTGCTGTGTGTGGGTGG